AAACAAGGAATGTTGGGCATAGGGCTAACAACCCTACCCCCGAAAACCAATCCAACCACTACAGAAACTTCAAAGCACACACAAAATATAATGCATAAAATTAAGCATATTCCTGGCTGGAATCAGAGAGGCCAAATGATGCCAATTGGTGAAAGCCTTCAGGAAGCCAGTCGGTCGATGTGTCTACTCTTCGGACATAGAATGTCCGAACAATGTTTGAACCTTGTAAGACTACCCAGATTGCAAAAGAGATGAGTAGGCACAGCATATAAGTGCTAGGAATCTGAGAAACCAGATGCAATGGAAGTAGATTCTACAAACTGTCAACTGAAGAGGAGAGTCAATAATATACTCCAATATTGTCACCCAAACCACAACCACGAGCACACTGAGTTTTCGAGTGGCCACCATCATGTTCCCCTCTCAACAGCATCTAAAGCTCCCATCCAGTGAAAACCAATCTCCTCCTCCATGATCACGATCATGACAGCGACATTCAACTCAAAAGGAAGGAAAGTCACAATCACACAATCCTACACTACGCACCTACAAATAATGCAGATGAAGAGGAGGAGGAGGAGGAGGAGGTATTCTACAGACAACTGCAATCGGAGCTGGACAACGCCTCAATTGGCGACATCAAAATCCTAATGAGTGGAGTGATATGAATGCCAAACTGGGAGCGGACAACACAGGAAGAGAAGTAACCATGGGTCGAGAGGCACTCGGTGCAATTAATGAGTATGGAGAACTCTTTGCAGCCTTCTGTGCCTCTAATGATTTGGTGATTGAAGGCAGCGTGTACAAACACAAGGATATTCACAAAGCGACATGGATTTCACCAGACACCAGGACGCACTAAAAACCAGATTGATTTCATCTCAATATAAAAGAAGTGGAGACGCAGCCTACTTGACACAAAATCAAAAAGGGGAGAAGGTGTAGGTTCAGACCACTCACTATCTAGTGCAAGAAACCTGTCTTCAAAATCAAATCCAAAGCTTACAAAGAAGCTGGCGATAGGCTACAGTTGAAGTTGAACACCCAGAACAGAAACTAAAGATCGAAACTAAAAAGGACATCTTCATGTCAGTCATCAGGACAAAATGGGAGATACTGAGCAATACCCCTGAAGAAACCTGTGTGGAAGATCACCGGAACTTTATGAAAGAGGTGTGGAAAGAAACCTGCATGACCGAATTAGGAAGGAAGAGGAAGCAAGACAAGGATAGGATCTCGACGGACACATGGAAGCTGATAGAGCAGAGAGAGGAAGATGGTGATGCAGAAGATGAACCAGTGTAGTGCAGTGCAGGGATGAACAAAGGAAAGAGGAACTAAACACAACTTATAAAACACTACACTGGACAAAGAAGTGAAGGAGAATGCGCGCAAAGAAAAAAGACACTTCTTTGACGCATTGGCAAGTGAAGCAGAACAGGCTACAGATAGGAGAGACCTGACAACATTATATCAAATAACCAGGTTACTATCTCAGAAGACATCAACACAGAAGAAGCCAATGAAAGATAGTGAAGGAAAGCTCATTGTAGTCGACTGGATCATGCAGCAGACAACTGTGAGGAGCGAGAAGTGAGGCATACGCCGTCTGACCGATGAAAAGATCCCAGAAGAAGATTTGGATTTCGCCGCCAATGATGATTTATGTTTAATGTCTTATGTCACGCAAACTCGAAGATCTACAGGCAAAAACTAACAAGTTGACAGAAGAGACAGCGAAGGAAGATAGGACTTCAAGTGAATATAGAGAAGACAGAGGTGATGAAGATACCCAACCAACAACAACAAAAACAACGACGAACACTAATCACAATGAACGAGAGAAATCTAAGGGAAGTTGTCTCTTTCACCTAACTACCTACCTACCTAGGTAGCATCGTCTCAACTACAGGTGGCGGCACAGATGAGGATGTCAAATCCAGGATCGGAAAGACAGCAAAACAGACCTTCACTAATCTGAAACTAGTGTGGAGATCTACTGCACTCGTTTAGTTTAGCAACACCTGTTACTAAAATACTGAAATTGTAGATCGTATGTATAAAAGTTTCTTATTTAGATCTAAACAACAGAGGAAATATATGTACTACAGGTTTGAATGATATCAATGAAATCTTCAACTAAACAAAGTTATGTTACGTTCCAAGTATTGAAGTTTGTAAGGAGATCAACATTATCTTCATTTACATAATCATGCAACATAAAAACCAGTTATTCGTACAAACAGATGCTAATTGATACTATCACTTAAGAATACGTATATAAAGGAAATAGTAATAAGAAAAGAATGAGAGCTGCATTCACTTAAAGGAGTCGATTGAAGTTAGTTTGAACAGGTTAGGACCTGATAGTAATTAGTTTCAAAACAATGCATACGTCTCAGTAACTACAAGAACATATGCAAGGTAACTTTAGAACACGGAACCAAAAAATATTTCATAAGAAATTCAATTTACATAGGCCTCAGGGATAGATAAGGCTAGTAAGATCAAAACACTGTAGAAGTAAATGAATAAGTTAAAAACTCTATATAATGATGCAACTGATCACTTCTAGCTTTTCCTTTTAAAAAATTGAACATTTTAACTTTCGTTTTACTATCTGAGAATCCAGCTTTTCGAATAACTTCCAGATGGTTTTCAGTGCCAGTTGGGCCACTATAAGCTTGAAGAAGGTGCTCATTACCACTCCTCACTTCTTGCTTAACTACACTATAGACTTCAATTTATGCATACGTCTGATTAGTGTAAGTTATTTGAAACTGACCCCATAAAGAGTAGACGACAGATCCTAGGTCTATGGAAAGATTATGCTATAAGAAAAGAAATTTTAAAGACAGAAAGAGGTGGAAGACTATCAACTGCATACTAGATAGATCCTGAGTAAATCCAGTCGCACTGGACCCGGTCTTTTGCTACTAGTTTCAACATCCCAGTTGTCCATATTTACAACGGGAATGAAGCTAAAACTCAAGATTTGATTTCGTTTCCCTACATCTTCGTTTACATTAAATTCGTCCCGTTAGGATCGTGTTTACTTGGCTTAAAAACTCAGCTTTTTAGCAATGGATATCGTCCACAATCCCTGCTCTACTTAATTCACCTTGCAAGACCACAAATTCTAACGCAATACGTCTGTGGACATCTAAAATACATTAAGAGAGCACGGTTTTGCATAATTGATTTATTCTGGTAGCGTTTACTGCCCGATTGAACTGTTGAGACGTTTGAAACGAAAACGAAACAACTCTCCACTGCTCCATGGTTTTCAGTGGCCTTCCAAATGATGTTTATCAGCGATGAAACTACTTTGAAATTAGATAACCTCTACAAATCACTAATTTGGTTGAAATCAGTTAATTCCTGTTAAATTTGATCAATCCGAGTATGAAACTTCAACCATTTGTATCTACTTTGATTACAAAGTCGAATATTAGAAAGAATATTATGCCATAAACTAACAGTTTCGTTGCTATCAGTACTAGTTGGCTGGCTGGTAACTCACAGAATCTCAATACAGTGTAGTTATACAGTTGCTGTTCATTAAATCATGTGGATAAAAGTACTGTGGGTGTTATTTAACCTAACAGCTACCATTCTGAACTCAAATGTAGACAAAAACTATGCTGTTATAAGTTAATGTTGGGGAAGAGTGATAGAAGACTGCTGAGGGAACTTGAGTGCTGATTGAGGACTGCTACTCCGTATAAACCATATACCACATACTGACGTCTTGACTTAAGAAAGGTTATGTCCGCATGTTAGTGGACAAAATAAGGTTACAACTGGAAGAATTTTCAAGTAATAATAAGTAGTGGAACTCATCAACTACACATCCGAATCTTGGTAAGTGGAGTACGCATTGAACATTAAAGTAAGGGACTATGAGTGTTATTTTAAATGACGAAAAGTGATTTTATTCTGTGATCAGATAATCTGTCTAAATAATCACCAATATAACTAATCTGCAGTCAGACATACAACCAAAATTCCTTAAAATACGATATATGGAGTGCAAATTTGCTAACCCTAGCATTAGTCTCCTAAATTGGAGGAAAAGATACGGAATGGTAAAGCTGCTGCTTACTGGTAATGGAAACTCAAAAGACATAAATTATTTCATTTCTTTCAACCTAGCTGAATAGGAATTAGTGTTAGCTGGAACACTATTGGTGTGACTGAGAACCTAGAACAAGTAGGTGGCATGTGACTGGTCACCTGCATAGGCAACATAAACTATTATTTTATCACATTAATAAACCAAAGATGCTTACGACAACATTAGTCAGTTTATCAACTACGTTTACATATATAAGCAGCAGTCATTACGGACTGACATTAGTTGGAGACCACTGAAAACCTAGGGGTACTGGACACCTGTTTCATTCTAGTGTGGGCCTCGTCAGCAGTACACACGACCCGGCTAGGGATTCAACTCAGAACCTTCAGATTTAACGGCGAATGAGTGAATCACTGGGTAGGAATCCAATGGTTCACAGTTTCCTACTTCTACCAATTTGCCATATAGCGCAACTATCTGCTAAAGTCTTTAATTGGTGCTCGCTTCACTTCCGACTGGGGTCACCCTACAGATCACGGTTTCTCATTAGAACTTCGGGATATTCATCTTGAGGCATGTCACTAATGGGCACTAGACAGCAAAGTATTTTGAGGTTAGTGAGAATTTTTTTACGTTTAAGGTGGCATTCATCATAAACATAAAGAAATATCCATTAACCTTACATAGGTTATGAAGGAAAAAGTCATACAAATTAGCGGAACCAATACAAACCTGATGACCTCATTAACCATGATGGAACTAAATATTGCTTACTGATAACACAGGTTATGAAAAAGAAATAAAGGCAGAAATTAGGCGTTAGCGTGAAACAGCAGGATATACTTTTAGCATTGTAAAAATACAATAAAAATAAACGCTACACTATTATAAGCTAAAAGGTAAAGTAATCACTTCGACTTACCATGAAATGGAGTTGGTGACTTGTTAATAAAGTTCACAAGACCTTGTACATGATGTGACATATTAGGATAAGGTGAATAGAGTGGAAGTAATTGACTTTTTATCGAATTGCCAGTATTTAACAATAAACTAGAGGGATTGCACGGTGTTGACGATGATGAAGCTGAATGATACACCTTGACTGATTCAGAGTCTTTACTGTAGTTAATTTGATTTCTGAGATTATTGTTATTATTTGACAAATATGTAGGGAAGCTAACAGGTCCACTTTTTGTTACTCCTATTGAAGTTGAGTTTACTGTGGTATTATGAACAAAAGGATAGTTTAAACAGTTTGGTGAGTTTGTATTTTGTGGTTGTTGTTGTTGTTGTTGTTGCTGCTGCTGCTGCTGCAATAATATATCTGGGTCAAATGTTGACAATAAATCTATTGTTTTTGAACCAAGGGAACCCCAAAATAAAGCGTTTGCCAGCTGGCGCTACAAAAGAGAACATGCATTCATAAAATACTATAGGCAGAATGATAAAACAGCTACATTCAACTCATCGATGAATACATCTCTAAAACATTCAAAACTACTTACTCCAGTTTAGTTTGAACTTATCACATCGAGACCAGTCTAATAAATTGAGGCTAATAGTTTGTACTGAGTGGATTTGCAAGCAATACTTTTTAGCGTTTGGTAGGATTTTATGTGCGCAATGTTGAGGTCACGTAAAATAGACAAGTCGACTGATGAGATTGCGAACCTTCGTCGAATGAGATTGTTTGGACATGTACTGCACATGCCAAGCTATCACCTACCTCGACGAGCAATACTAAGATGAGTTGGATTAGTTTGGAAGAGGGTTGAAGTCGTTTACTGTTAGTATGAGCTATGTAGGAAGATGTAGATTATCTGGTTGAGGTCTTCGAGACGAAAGGAATCAGTGGTTGAGGACTCTAGGTGATATGGCTGAAAATCAGTCCCAATGACGCGGATGCATTCATTCCCTGACGTCTTCTAAAGCTTGAATATTTGTGAGAACCTTTACCTTCAAATTGCTTATTCTCTTACAACTTTGTCTATTTTGATATTGCTTTTTTTCTGTCCCCCGGTTTTTAGTATACTACTGTGAAGTGTGACAACCTGAACCGATGCACTTGTATGCGAGGTTCCACGGTGATCTTGTCTATCTGTCTGTCTACCTGTAAGCCACTGAAGGACCAGATAGTACCAGGAAGGACTAAAAGGATATTGTTTCGGTTTGCGATTCCTCAGTTTTGTGTGAATTTGGGATTTGATCAGCCATCTGATTAAGGAGTATCACGTCATTATTCAGAGTGGTTTCGCTTAGTTTGATTCCCATTACTTTCACCTGAGATGTTAATCATAGCCCAGTACATAAACATGTGATAAGCATAAAGCAGCATGATTTTATCTACCTTCAAACATTCAACAGCTTACGCTTATTAGACAGAGGACCAACAAGGTTTTGTTGAGAACAAACTTTAGTTGAGTAGATAAACTGGTTTCCCAATTTAGGTAATTGGAGAATTATGAAATGGTTATTTAGTCACCAAGAAGCACTTTTGGGCGGATTTCTACATTCATTGGTTTCTTCCTCTGTCAATTACCGACAAACAACCATCCTCCCATTCCGATATCAATAATAAGTTGTGTGTTTTCGTTCAAAACTCAGAAAATCCATCTTCAAGCGATAAATTTATGAAACTGTCTAATCTGTGGAGTTTTCAACACCATTAAGGAATCAGTGGAAGACCAAGAAAGTGGATCTGTTTGGAATGCCATAAAGATATACAACTTTAAGAAACAGCTCCTTTTTATTTCAAAAAATTGTGTTTTCAAGCTATTTCATGATGAGATACCTGTCTATCGAAACTATCTCAGCTTTAATTTACTTGTTTGTGGCTAGCAGAGGAACCCAGGAGGCACGTTTCGCCCTAGTTGGGACTTCTCAGTTGGATATACCTTCACCCTAGTGAGTGATGTTGTTCCCACCGAGATTCGAACCTCACACCCATCACTTTAGACACCATAGCGTTATCCATTAGGCCACTGAGGCACATAGCCACCTCTTGTACAACGGGTATTAGTTATAATTACAAGCACACTAACTAAAAGTTAATATCTCAGCTTTGTTCAAAAACAAAAGGTTTTACGTCAGTATCCAGTTTAGGTTTTATCAATTGAAAGTAAGCTGAATTGTTTCTTGTTTTCCTCATTGTTTCAGTTATTCGATTTGAGGTGATTTACCTCTACATAATATAATGAGTAATGGTATTTCCACTAAAACACAAACAGATCACCTATTACTTTAAACACATTATCCATAAGGCTACTGAATCATGATAGTCACCTCTTGTGCAACGTGTATCAGTTGTTATTTACTGATGCGTTCACTTTCTAGTTGATCGAATTGATCGAACGATGAAGCACGTTCTGAAAGCCACTTCTGGTCATTAACAATCAAATTATACCATAATTAATTTTTAGACAATATTGAAACATTGTTACACAGAAGCTCATACACCAATAAAGACCGATCAATTCAGTCCAAAATAACAATCAACGGGAATGTATGAGTATGGATGAACGAACAGGACAACACCTATGTATAAACACATGTCTAGTATGTCAAGAAATCATATATATACTCTGCATTTTATTTGATAAAACGATGAATATTGTAGTTTTCAATTATAATAAAACAAAGAGTTTCACCTCAATATTATAAATACTTTGCATAAAGTGAACTTTAAAAGTCCTTAAGCAACTAAAAGCTTACACCAAATTCTTTACAAAATCTGCTAATTCAACGCTTCAAGATAAGTCATCAAGACACTACAGGAAGAACTACAACTTCCATCATATTACTGTTTTTAAATGATCATTAAAATGATAGGTAATACGTAGTTAGTGAAGAAAAAAAACAGTTCAGATATACAGGGTTTTAGTAAACGGAGTTTTATATTACGAAGTGGTGATTGAAACTGGTATGACATTGGCAGCTGTATCTCGTAGCTTATTTAGGACAAGACCAGGTAGGCAACCTACAGGTTATTGGTTGAAATTCTGCTGAGAACCATATTTTCATTTCAATTTCATTTATAAATCCATCAAAATAAAAGAATTTTAAAAAGTAAAATATAAGATCAACCTACCAAAGACTGAGCTGCAGACTGTTTAGTTAGATGTGGTAAGATATCTGCTTCACTTGGTGGTGAAGTTGTTCCAACTCCAGATTCGGTGAGAAACCTTGGAAGGTGTTTCAATAAACTAAGCTGTTGATCACAAAGATTCAATGAATTTAAGTACTCCGAATTGGTGTTCTGATTATTTGTAGAGAAAGGTGTATATGTTAAAGGAGTTGACTGTGTTACTTGAGTATACGACTTATCTGCTTGATTCGATTGGCCGAAAGAACTTTGTATGACGTCGATTGGATTGAGAAACTGTGAAGAGCTGAGTGGTGATGAAGTGATGATAGGAGAGCTTGAGTTATTAATATGATTTGATGAAGTTGAATTGGTAGAAACAGATGGAAAAGCGGCTGCTGCTGCTGCTGCTGCTGCAGTTCGTGAGTGTTGTAATAATAATGCAGCTACAGCTGCCTGACTAATAGAAGATAATAAATTGGATTGTAACACTGAAGCTGTAGGTGAACAACAAGGTGAATTAACGTGACTACTAGGGCCAAGACCAAGAAATGAATACAAGGCAGATGCTGCACCAGAAGTTGATGTGAAGCGATCAGTTGCAGTACTAGCACTTAGTTCAGGCAATAGGCCAGTACGACCAGTATTATCTGAGTTCAAACGGGTAGGTTTTGAATGCTTGGAACTTTCACTTAAAAGAGTCTGACAATTAGGTGCAGATAAGCTAAGTGGAGTGACAAGGAATTTTCGTGCTAAATTTGAAGCAGATGAATCCAAACTAACAACACTAGCAGGTGATGAGAATGAAATTCTACTAGACAAAGATTCGTTTGTATTACGATGGACGTTTGTATTGTCTACAAGTGATCTCAATTGTTCAGGATCTGAAAGTCCGTTTAAATTTCGATCAGAATTATTATTATTATTATTATTATTATTATTATTATTATTATTATTACTGACCAGGGACCTGGTAGATTCCTCGTTTAAAAATGTCCGACGGTCAAATTCAGTAGATGAATGGGATGTAGGCTAAACAAGAAAAAAAAATTACTTCCAGATAATACATAGTATAATGATTATTAAATTAAGAATAGCACAATAGTCAAGGAAAAATCCTATAATTTGTTTACTAACATAGTGTAAAATGTGTACAGAAAGCATGACCTACAAGTAAATTATACACTTACAGAATCAGCTGGAAAGTTTGTGAAAACAATCATGTCATTTGGATTCACTGGACAGGAACAATCACTAGGTAACAATGAATTCTGTCGACTATCAGTATTGTCACTACAGGAATTAGTTTCACCGGCTAAAAAGTGATTAGAACTTTGTGAATGATCAGTTTTTAATTCATTCAAATTATCAGTTTGTATTTTTAAGTAGCTATTTGCTAATGTAAAAGAAGAATTTATATTTGTTGATTGGGAAATATTATTGAATTTCGATTTTATCAGATTACAATTATTATTATTAGTAGTAGAATCATCCAGATTAGGATGTAACTGATTACTGCATACTCCACCACTGCCACCACCACCACCACCACCTGATGTAATGAAAGATGATGTGCATGTCATGTTCACTGCTTGTTGCTCTTGTTGTTGAATGTTTTGTAAAGACCCACTAAATGTATTAGTAGTGGTCCATGAGCGCATTGGAACTTGGGTAGGTAGCCCTGCTGCATTATGCCAGGGACTTTCAATACGACCGCCTCCTTTACAAGGCATAGGGTTTGTGAAACATTTAGACATATTTGTTATATTAAAAAAATTGTTTTGATTATTTGCATGATGTTCACTTGATAAGCATAATTCAGTTGGACAAGAGTCAAGGCTAGTACGATCATATGATATAAGCGAACGAATACAATTCATGTCACAGGTATTAGCCATAGATACACTTCGACCATTATCAACAGCTTGGGATAAGTTTCCCATCTGGTTTATAGATCTTCCAGTTACTTTCGAGTGCTGCTTATTATTACTATCCATATTTCGTGTGCGGCCAATGTTCACTTTACGGGTAATACCGCATGACACTTTTGCTGGCAAAGGATTTAAGGATGATACGCCAGTATTATCCTCAAGTGGAGAACCGCTGCGTTTACATGATCCAGGAGTATGACGAGGTGAGTTCGCCAACAAATTGGCTTTCCTACCCGATACAGCTGAATCAGTATTCGTGGAGTCTGAAAGTGTTTGATAGGACTTAAAACGTAAATTTGGCAAAATGATTCCATTTTACGGACGTAATCACAAAGAGATGACTTTGCCAAGTTATACTTTTGTGCAGCACGTCTCATGGATATATGAGAACCCAAGACATCATTTACGGCTAACTCCAATAATTCCCGTCGTTCTGCAGGTTTATGACGAGGACGTCGGACAGAAGTGATAGCTGTAACACTTGTAGCAGAATTTGAACAGTCGATTGTAGTAGCACAGTGAAATTGACTGTCAACTGATGATGACAGATTCGACGGTGGTCCAAAAGTTGTAGTGGGTGGCAAGTGTGTAATATTAGAATCTGATAGTCGTTCTATTGCACATTTCTTAGGCAACTGAGGTTCAAGAGTAGGTGGGGAAGATAACGGCGATGCAACAAAAGATTCTGGAATAGACTTTAACTCAGACTTTGTATCCTGTTCAAAAAGCTGGGATGATGGAATATCACCTTTCTCCTGATCATCAGGTAGTGGTGTCAACAGATTACCAACTGAATCAATAGGTTCGAAACGTAGTGTAATATTTTGAGCATCTGAACAAAGTGGGATATCACAATTAGCATCTGAAGATTGCGGTTGTGTCATAAGATTATGGATTCTAGTTTATCAAAGAAATCTGAATTTAGTTAACCACCGAAGTATACACAAAGCACATCTTGTAATATCTAGGCTGTATATACTGATAAAATGATTGGAGATTGAACTCTAAATTTATGATCCGTTCGTTCAATGGTTACTTGGATAGTATAATAATATTGCCTCTTGTGAAAATACGGATAACAGAAGACAATGCAACCAATAAGTCATGAGGACACAAAATAACTGATAATTTCGATCAACTGATGAATTATAAAATTATTCATTAAAATAACGACACCCCACACATCAACATGATCTAACGCACAAAATACAGTTGTGATCTAACAAATTCTATGAAATACCATGAGCAAGTTTATTGTGTGTGTCTATCTAAACGCTCGAATGAATATGCTCATCAGGCATTGAGCAATTATTATGATTATTGTGCGCTTGTTTGTGTGTGCGTTTGTATCTATGTTGATTGTGAGCATATAAACACACAAATATAAGTGCACACATAAAATGAACTCTGTGTATCATTTGTCCATTAAGAAATCACTGGCCACCCCAACAAAATCTTCTTCGTTTGATAGTGTGTTTAATTAACCTATGCACAATACACAAGCACCACATGAAACAACTCAAAATTTCAGTATGCTTTCTTTTTCTTCACAAATGAAGACAGAAAGAGAATTACAAGACAAGTCAATAATTACTAGGTTTGACAGAAACAATGAAATCATATATGTATTTTGAGGTTCATGGGGATTATATTTTTAAAATGGTATTCATCACAGATTGACATCAATGGGAGAACTATTTAAAACCTAGGTGCACATTGTTGAGGAGGCCCATACTCGGACGAAGCAGCTGTCCAGCACTTCCAAGTTTTTAAAGGTTCTCTAACTGAAGTGAATCGACCATGAATACTACCTTAGAAATCATATATCTCGAAATTATGTGATGATATAGTCCCAGTACATATGTTAAGTGTATCATTATGAACTCATATCACACTTCCTGAGTTGAACGTCCGATTAAAACAATAATTCACAAGAGAAAAAAAGTTTATGATTGAAAAGCTAAACAAACCAATGAGAAGTATATAATAATCACACTGGCTAGTGTATAATAATGCAGTTTCAAAAATTATTGACCCTATGAGGTAAATGTACCCATCAAAATTTTTTTAATTATCATTACTGTAGCAACCAGCGGTCAGAGTAAAGAAACAAGAAGCGTACGGATCATTTATTTTTCCAACTTATAAGTAAAACGGATACGATGAAACTGATACATATGTTCTAAACTGATCCATTTTCAGCATTAAAGCTGACAATATTATTCAGTTGTCAAGAAATTAAAAGGAAGTAGGATTCAACCAGAGAATACATATGGTTCCAATTCAGAGCTATTGAAACACAAAAACGCAATTCAACTATCATAGAAGAAATGAAGTATCATTAAAACTCTGTTATTCATATTGATAGAAAACGAGCGAATATAAACAGTTTACATCTATTCATACGAGAGAAAAAGTGGAATAGACAAAACTTGTTTGAATAATTTGATCGCCATATAGTACAGTCAGTGCAGACCGAAGTCCAACCGAGAACCGATACGTGCTCGAATTTCACTTACTTTAGAAGTACATAAAAATGAAAGCATTACTTTAAAAACAAGTGAAGTAAGCTTAGGTAGGACAAAATAGGTGAAAGTACTGTTCATTACAACGAAGCCATGCACATTTGACAATTCTCATAACGGAATTACATCAGTTGAAATAACCCTAGGAAATACAAAGTATTTAACTGCATCTTGTTCCTAGCTTTGGGCATCTTAGCAGTGCGCACTCTAGACCAGTTAAGAGATAAGACATATAACCTTTAAGTTTTACGGTTATCCATAATTTTCCAACTTCAGATAGTTTGTAATGTGAGTCAACAGGAAGTATTTATATTTACTACAATTTGAAAGTAACACTTTGAGGAGGAAGACTACTTTTGTCAAAAGGTGTTGACCAGTTCTATGCGAGTGTAGACACTAAATATGAGGGCTATAAGTTGTAAGAACTATTAAGAAAGCATATGAAGGATATGAAGGGATGTAAGATGACAACAACATAACACACTGCTCGATACCTCTAAACTACTTTGAATGCTTTAACAACACAATTTTATTAGATACGCTTGCAGTATATGTGACCTAAATGAATAGTTAGTTTCATTTTATCTTCCAGGTGTACAAAGGTTTTTAGGATCACTTTATCCCAAATATTTGCAAAGTCTGCCTAACCAGTGTGTAAACGATGTTTGATTTACACAGGTGCCAATGGTTTACAACCTTCTTAATTACCTTTAAACTATGCAAACAGCAGAAAAGCAAATTATCTCTCCTATAAGAAGAAAACCACATCCACAGGGAAATGTCAGATAACAAGAGGAAACAGACAGTAGGTTTTATTTCTAGCCTTATTTGTAGGATTGATATTGGGTGACGATTGAAGATGAAATGAAAATATGGGCCCCGGTGGGATTCGAACCAGCGACAACTGGGTCTGCGTCTCTGTACTCTACCAACTGAGCTACGATACCCGACTGTTGACTAGATTTTTACTTCACTCTAATCACCAAGTTGGTTGATGGTTTGAATCTAACCGCGGCCCAAATTTTCATCTTACCTTCAATAATCGCCCAGTATCAGCAGTAGTGTACCAAACCACGTCTATGTCAGATAGTCAAAAATATTATTTGGAGTAGTTAGAAGTGGAGTTTCTCTAGAAAAAAATGTTCAGATGAAGTTTATCCAAAAAGCACAATACCTCAATTTTATGCTAACATTAGACTTCTAACCTACTCTGAAAAATCAGGTAGAGGGTGATACAAGTCAATGGCCAGGCACCAAAATTTATATTACACCTCATTCTTTATGACCATATTTCAAAGCTTGAATATTGCGAAGCATCGAAATGTTGCACCTCTAGCATATATGAGTATTCCTATTGCTATTCATATCCGCCTTCAATTATACTGAAGTATAAATTGCTGTTAAGTATCTTCCTAGCAATTAGCACAGTAAAGCTTAATCGCAATTAGCTTCTGAACAGTACAGTCAAAACAGTTAAGTAGTCTAGGCTTGAACAGAAACCTATCGTCTAACGAATACAAATCTTCAGGACTCACCAACTCACGAAAATCCGTGATGAGAATTGTCATGAAATATGTATAGCTTGGTTTTACTGAGAAGTACTCCCAGCTGTTTTATTCCATCTAAACTTAATTCACACGTTATGAAAATAAGTCTTTTGTTTTATGCACTTCTACGGTGAGTGAATGATATACTTTGCATTAGTAAGCACGTTGTATCGATTGATAGTTGGACTTTGGTCTGCGCTGACTATACCACTGGCGACCAGATTAGTCAAACAAGTTTCGTTTGTCACACTTCTCAGTTTCCATGACAAAATACAAATGCTGGATCGCTTGTCTATCTGGCATTCCATAGCAAAATCATCTACTTCTATGGATACGTGATGCATGTCAGAGCGGTGATGGAGACCGTTATTCAGTACGTGTTTCCACCTACTTGTCATTATTCTTAATCTCTTTGCGTTTTTGTTGTACCTTCATGACACTTTATTTGGCGAAGCACATTTGCAGGTTATCACATTTAATCGAATTCATGTCGAAAAAATCAGAAACTTAGTTCTATGAGAATAATATTTTCACAACTTAATTTTTGAACTACTGGCTATCTGTAAGTAGTTCAAGTACTCTGTCAGATAAAATTGACAGGAGCTTTACCAAAATGGGGGAGGCACATACTGTTACATACGAAGGTGATATATCGTATATCTTGCAATACAATGTACCTTTTACGCACTTTTTTATCACCCATTGATATTTGTTTGCCAAGGTTGGTCAGCAAATATGGAGACTTTCCTCGGTCATTTTGGTGAGTTACTCAAAGAAACGCTTTGACAACATGACAGAGACGAGCATATCCGGAAGTGCTATTTGATATATATTCATCTCATATGTGCCATTCAAAGTAAAATAATCGATTAGTTTAAACCATGACAGATATTCTACCTAGTAGACAACAGGGTTCGGTATCAGTAAACATCTATTTGTACGCAAGGGCAAGTTATGCTGCAGTAACATTTCTATAGGGCCGAAGGGAGGTGGGACAAAGCATCCAGTTAACAGAACTGATAAGGCATTAAGTACTCAGATGCTGTCCTTCAGCAAAAGGACTTTATTTGTTCGCATTCAACCTGTTGCACTTAAGTGTGGTGATAAGTGAGCACTGAAAAGATGTTAGTTTATTATTGTAAGAATCCGTTCACAGATACTTACGACAATAAAGTGATTGTCATGTGAAAAATTTAGTCACCAAAGACTACAGCATGGAATCATATGAAGAAATATCCATGAAGTAATTACTGCTAGTTTACATAATAATTAGTGTTGATTTATTGCCTATAAATACAAAGTGATTCAGCTGTTTGAAGTATAACGAATTAATTTATCAATAATCGAATTATCCTAATAATCATAATGGATACTACTATGTATTTATTCGACGTCTAATGACGTCAGTGGTCAGCAAATCCATACATGATCTTGTTCTTTCTTGGCTTTATCTCAATTTTGCGTGACTGGAAAAGGATATATCTTTACATATTTTGCGACTACAACACAGTATCATGGTATTTATTTCATTACAAATTCGACTCGGGTAAAACTCGGAAATTAAGTCACTTATGCTCAAAAAGACTTCCATAGTCAGAGAAGACTGAGTCGCAATGGGAAGCTACTACCTAGACGTGATGATCGGGCTCGTATATCACAATGCTGGTTGGGATGATCATTCTCTGAGGTCTTATGATGCCAGAAAGGTCCGTTGGTTAGTGGCGAGAATACAGCTAGCTGCCGTGGAGGTGAAAAAAGCTTGTGCTATAACAGAGACTTCAGGGCAAAGTTTTCCTCCTTGCTGTGCGGGGTGTGACAGTGGTAAAGTGTTTCTCGCTGACAACCAGCGTTTCATGTTGATGCTATCTTTCTAAATCCAATAAGACGGATCAGAAAAGTTGCGCCAAAAATAGCACACCTCACACTGTTACAGACACCATTGGTGTTTTGACAGGAAGTAGAGATGCAACACAATTAAACATGAATCGAAAACTCATCAAAAAGTTATGTGTAACCGGTCTCCAGTAGATATTTATTGAATTCTGCAGTGATTCAAAACGAACTCGCTTTCTCTTTTGCTTACCCCATGAAGATATCAACCTTCGCGGTGTGAGTAGTCGGGAACTCCCAACCCCTCGCATACTTCCAGTGGTGTACTACATCTACTCAACCGAAAATTACTACCAACTCTAATTACCTAAAGTATGTCCCCCACAGCCTTCTTAACCGCTTGCCTTACGAACA